AGATTGGCAATCGGAGTGATGGTTATGACATGAATGTAGAAAGGGGGAGATAGGGGTCATCAAACCTTGATGGCCGAAAATAGACGTTACTTTTGCAATCCCAATTACTTTGAGCCATCACTGCGGGAATCGTGCATAATCGAACACAAACAGACACATACACATATAGAGACGGATACAGTCACAGGCTTCGAGGTTGACCGTAACTAACCAAATCACTTAAGACCTGATCAAAGAGGCCAGATGTAGAGTATATATACCACTTTTTAGGGATTCGCCGGTGAGCTTTCTTGACTCGTTAGCTTAAATTTGGTTGTGACGATGATAACTTGATCTGATCATGTTCGTCACATGACGGACGAAAGCTTAGCACCTTTTTACCGGAATCGAAAGAGATTGCCTCGGAAACAGCGTCAGCATGAATCTTCCAGTTAAGCCAATCGACAGCTGGTCAAGAGGAATCCGCCGTCGTCTTCTGGTGGAACCGACCTTCGAATCTCGCGTCAGCATGAATCTTCCAGTAAAACCAATCGACAGCTGGTCAAGAGGAATCCGCCGTCGTCTTCTGGTGGAACCGACCTTCGAATCTCCTCAACCTAATCGACAGCTGGTCAAGAGGAATTCGCCGTCGTCTTCTGGTGGAACCGACCTTCGAATCTCTTCACCCCCTTCTACTCGAAATGGAAGTAAGCTCAACGATTATGAAACAAGAGATTCCTCGAAACCCAAATTTTCTTCGTATATATTACATCTCATATGACTAAGTTCTTGTTCAAGAATTAACTATTACCCAAGAATACTCAAATCAGAATTAATAGGAAGCAGACAAGAAATGACTGAACCTCTCTTAAACTATTTACATCAAAAGTAAATAGGATTGTCGATTGTAATGGCAAACAGATGCTTGATTGTGAGAAAACTTAACCATAAGTACTCATGTGACCTGGACGATAAAGTTATTATTGAAGAATTACTGATAGTCTCAACGACGAGTGGGGCAAATTGAGTCTTGAATGGCCATATGAGCAACCTGAAGTGAGCTGAGGTGATGCGATTGATGATTAATGTATAGAAAGCATCACCTCCAATTGTATGTGATTGGTAGGGTACCATTTGGGTGGCTGAATGCGGACACTTCTGAGGCGGTCAAATGACGCGAGGTATGGACGAGTGGCAATAAAGGATGACAACAACAACAACAACAAAAATAACAACAAATGCCTACCGGTAGGGAAGGATTTCGGGGTGGCCAGGACGCCTGCACTGCTGGCCGGGGAGGACGAAGAAATGCCGGCATCCTCTTCCGAGATGGCCCCACCGCCACCGACTCCGACGTGTCCGGTTGGCGAGAAGATCTGCGTTTGTC